GGCGCACTTTGTTCTAAAAATAGAAAAATTGTCCCATATCATAGGTGCGCGCGAATCCCGAGACTTACGGTCTCCGTCCCCGATTATGGCTCCTGCCAAGAACACAACACAATGTCCCGGGCCAGGGCTTGAACCCAGACCGCTCGCTTCGTAGTCGAGCGCACCAATCATGAGGCCACTGCGCCTCCCACATATATATTGCACACAACCGTAGCTAACATTAAAAGCGCCGAGCCTCCCAGTACCGCAGAACTTACACAAAATCATCATGACATATATTTTCTCGAAATCCCCAACCACACCCCTAAAATGAAATCAATCACTTACTTGTCTTATCCACACGTTACTAACAAGAACTTGATTCTTTTCATCCTGTAGTAAAAGCATTCCCGGAAGAAGAACAGTAATTAAGAGGTAATAATTTAAACTGTATAGGAAATTCCTTTCGGATGACCTGATGTATTGCTATTGGAGGTATATGTAGTAAAAAAAAGTCTCAAAACTCTTTTGGTTCTGGCTGATTACTTACCAGTTCGACAAGCTGAGTATAAGCAATGCCAAAAATAACTTTGATAGCAGCATTCTTGTTCTTCACTGGCCTGACTTCCTTGCTGTAGTTGTCGCTGTGGAAAAGATCGTTCACCAGCCTGAGCTCGTCGTCATCGCTTTTGGTGACTGCGTCTGTCAACAAGAGGTGCCGTGGGTTAGTTCATTTAATAATGGCATATTCAGGCTGAATAATCGTATTAATTCGTCTAATATATCGTGTGACGAACTGCAGAAGTGTTATGCCATAAGATAATATGACTTGACTTGACATGACACAACACGACACGGAAATAGTTCATGCCATGTTACGTCACGGTATGTCATGTCCGCCGTGCCATGTTATATTACGTCATGTCATGTATTGCNAATATGACTTGACTTGACATGACACAACACGACACGGAAATAGTTCATGCCATGTTACGTCACGGTATGTCATGTCCGCCGTGCCATGTTATATTACGTCATGTCATGTATTGCCGTTTCATCTCATATCATGCCATGCCATATAATATGATGTCATGCCATGCCATGTGATATGCCATTAAGCGACGACCTGCGCTGTAGAGATAGGAACGATAAATACTCATATTCTTTTGAGAAACCACTCCTTATTCTAACTTCAATGGCAACCTTAATCAGTTGTCACCTCTTACTCCCATAAAGGGCGCAGCTTAGGTATATAACACCGAAGCGTTTCAAAACCTGATTTGATCAGAATTGATTTTCTTATAAGCCTTATTAATGCAGTCTGAGATTAGTTCAAACGTCGAGATCCTAACCTTCCGAAGTCATGCTTAGGTTGAAGAGATCCAGTTTAATAGAACCCTAGACATCCCCTCACCTACCCCCCTTTAACCCCCCCCCCCCAGAAAAGAAGCGAAAATGGCCGCCACATTAAAAAAGAGAATGAGCCGGCGGCATTGTTGCGTTGCCAAGTTATTGTGAAGACAGTGGAATAACAAGCTAAACCACAGTATGCAATTAATAGTGAACTCTCTCTCTCTTCTCGTAAATCCCGCAAATATGTAGCAATTATCTGCAAAAAGGATTCCTATGAATATTTGCAGAGAAAAATAAATAAAATTTCATCATTCTTTTGTGAGGCGCGCGTAAGTTAATATTCCAAATTTCGTTTCGTGGACTTAAAATTGAAACAGAGCAGTAAAGTCTATTTTGTTATTTCTGCACAATGTAAACTTATGGTAATTCTTGTCTTGTGTTTTTATAAAATCGATCAATTTTAATTTGAAAGCGATAAGACATCACCGCTTTTCATTTACTGAAAGTTAATTCAAATTGAAGAAATTGGTGCAAAAAGCTTCGAGACTGTATGGGTGTTAGTGAAAAAGGTAACCTTTTCGCGTCTTTGCTTAAGAGCCAATTAGAAATACGGTTGTTTCGAAGCCAAAATAACTGTCTGGTAATAACAGTAAAATATGTTTTATGTGTTCAAAAACTCCTTTCCTTCAGTAGTGGTGATAAGATGCTCTGACTCTCTAGCGAACGTTTCCATTTACCGCTGAGTGCAGCCAAGTTTACATAATATAATAAAGTTATCAAACGCGGCATTTAAGAAAATGAGAAAAAATGAAAATTTACCTAGGCAACCTTTCGTAACAAAAACAATGTAAATTTGAATGAGTCTCGCCACTATTCAACAGTGGAAGCGAGTGTTCCCAAACCAAGTAACATCAACGGGAGTTTAAACGACAAGAAATTAAAAAGAAAAAGGTAAGCAGAAGGTAACTATAGATTCGGTGGTGTTAAAATTTCTTATCGGCGTAAAAAGAAGAGCTATGAGTAATTCCGTGTTTCTTTTCCAACGAACAAAAAAAAAATTTCCATTTGGAATTTTAATTCAGCGATGAACTAAGTTTAAGACTGAGAAGCAGCGAGAGTGGTTGACGCGCGGAACGGTATTGATACAGATCTCGACTGAGTAAAGCGATTGAACGATATTATTATGCGTCTGTAAAGACAAAAATAGAAATACTTGGCGAGTAACAACAGGCTTGATTAAAACAACTACACCTCAACTTCATTTACAAAGTAGAAAACACCGTGCTATCAACAATCTGTCCATTGACTCCTAGCTCATGCCTAGCGTAGACAATCATGTTACTTTGTGAGAATACAGGACCGTCGCACAAGCTTACGTACCTATTATTGCTATGATGAAAGCAAAGTTGAAGAACAACTGCAAACCATACCGATACATTTCGCTTGTCCAAAGTGACGATACCCTCGAAAGCTTCAAAGTTAACTTGGCAATCTGTCAAACCGGGCTAGCTTGTTCTTGACAGACGAAAAGCAATTTGTATTTTCGATATTGACCCACTGATTATTAAACCACCGGTTCCGTGGACCTTAATCAGACTTGAAATCGATGCGAATAAATTGGTAACCGCAGGAGTTAATGAGTTACGTCACGTTCTAAAAACACACCATAGAAGCGAGCGCGTGTTAGAGTACAGTGACGCGATGCGTTTGTCCGAAAGGAGTTGTAAAAATAGATTCTGTTGAAGAGACAATGATCTTGTTATGATATTTCTTGCACACTGCTGTGCGAACTTACGCCATACTCCGCAGTGAGTAAGGAATTCATTAAGTATTTATTAGATGATGGTCACTCTGTTTTTTCAATGGAACCAGTCTCTTAATAACTCCTCTTATATCTGGAAGTGAACATGTTGCAACTGACGCACGTTTTTACATGTTCGTCTTTTTCGGTTATGAGAACTTAACAGAACGTCTTAGATATCGTAATAGAAATTGCTTCTCCAAGGAGCGGGCAAAGAAGTTTAATGTATAATTTCACACATCAGCTTCACAAAATACACTATAAAAATACTCGTGTGAAATGTTGATAGAAGATTCGCTATGTCACTAATGAAATCATTTTACTTGTGTTTACAATTTAAAAGATAGTTAATGAACTAAGGTAAACAGCCATATTGTAAAGAAATAAATTCTGCCCTCTTTGAAAAATTTAGTTTACAAAACAATACATAAAAGATAGAAAACTGTTCTGTATAATTTACAAGCTTTACAAGCTTGTAGCGACTTTTCAAAGGCAAAACGAATGATCGCTTTCACAATAGTTTGCAAAGACACCATCACGCCTTAGTCTGTACTGTGAAGTCCATAAATGTTTAAGGTTGAAATGAACGTTCAGTAAGACGAGACATTCTAATTTTAATTTATCATATACGCCGTTGCTTAGAAGTGAAACACCAAAAAACTGTTTAGTACTGAGGGAGAATTAAGTAGCCAGAATGGAAGACGTGCAATGTGTTAATTCATCGAGAAAAAGAAGACAGGACAAGTACGTCTTGCAAGTCACTAATAAGACTTGGAGCAAAAGAGAGCCAGCTTAATCTCGTTTGAGGGTAAATGATGTCATTTCTAGCGTATTCTCGACTCTTTGTAAAAGATCAAAGCAAACTCTCCTCTACGAGCCACTCGTGCTCTCTTCTTCACGTTTGATCCAGCCTTAAGGCATGTGAAATTTCCAGGATGAACCTTTAAACACTATGTTGGTGCACAAGGAAGAACAAGCGAGGTCTTTTACATTCTCGACCCCAGAGCCTTCGCTTTCTTGACAGTGTGCGAAGGCTCTTGTTCTCAACGTCGGTCATGCACAAACGAAAAAGGGCTCTGGGGTCGAAAATGCGTCTTCATAGCAACTTAAATAAATGCGCATGCGCCATTGCACACCTTTTGTTCTACCACAAAGAAGGGCAAACGGGCTACTTTTCACCTATATATCTGTGACTTATAAGACAATAGCTATGTGGTCAGTAGAGAAATCCAGAAGCGTAGCTATCCGTCCTAACCAGTGAGCGAGCCATAATGATGGTTAATGGGTGGTTAAGTGAGGAAGCGAGCGAGTGAATAGTAGGTGTCGTACAACTCCCACGGTCCTCAATATTCTGCGACATTCTACGGTGTTTAATGACCCACTTATCTTTGGCACAGGGATTGACAAAATAAAGGAGTAGCTGTAGAAATATTTCAATTAAAGAATAGCGAGTACAACTGATAGCAACTTAATTGACTCTGAAGGTGATTTCTGCTCAGGTTGTCGAAATCCATCGACGACGACGGTAACGAGAACGTCATCAAACAAAAGGTTTAATGAGCAGAACAAAAGCTGTGTACGTGCGTTATAAATCTTTGTACATTTCTTTGCCGTCCTCTACAAAACAAGAACGTAAAATGACCAAGTTCTGCGTAGTCTGAGGAACGCGAACGACGACGACTAATTTTTCGCATTTTCATTTGGAATTGAATGCTGTCATTGCATATTTAGCCTGAGCACGTTTTTAGAGCCATTGGCGTACTGAACAGATCTAGACAATTGCAAATTTCGCTGGTAAAATATAAATTCATTTTTGACTAGGCGTCATCCTCGGCTTCGGCGTCGTCCTTGCTTAAGCTCCCTTGTGCAACAGCACAACAACTACCCTCACCCGGACGATCACACTATACGAATCAAACTAGCAATTTTGTATTACATGTCAGAGTACATCTGCCACACGAAATCACGAGTGAGTTATTTTGGCAAAGGGGGCCAAAAACCACATTAGAAGATATAGGGTGCTTACCATTTAGCCAAAATATCCGGAAATTTCGGTTGAAATTTAAATGGAACAGTAATTTCCCGGGAAATCCGTTCGAAAATTGTAGACTGCCTCATGAGGTGGTCCTCTTTTTCCGTTCGAAACGGAACAGCGGGAATTTCCTTACCATTTGCTACATTTTCAAGTTTCCAGTCTCTACGAGCAAAACAATGATGGGAAATCGAATTGTAAATGGTAAGCGCTCTGATTTCGTTCGGGTGGTTTGCTGATTTTTTCGAAAAACCCTTATCATTATTCAACGACGAACCGGTTTATTCTGACAAACTGACAAGTGGTAAGCACCCATGGTATCACTTATTTCGAAAGTAGATGACGATTATATAGAGAAATGTGGATACTTTAAATTTCGACAGTGAAGACTTCTGATGGCCATAAGAATATTATTTAGTAATTAACTTAATTGAATGCTAATTAATTATATGCGCTTTACTGGTATTTGTGTAAAATTTAAAAGTGTTATTTTCGAGATTTTGGACTTTCCTTGTCGTCCCTCAAATTCAGCCTTAGTATGACAACTGGAGATCGAAATTAGCATGAAATACTATTTACTTATTTATTAGTCAAAAAGCCAGGTATAAATAAGGACAAAATCCAGAAATTCTTTTACATTTCACCTCTTGGGTGATAATCATTTTTCACACAAGGAACTGGAAGATAACCGCAAAAGGAACCCTCTGCACTGAATCTGATTATAGAAAGAAGAAAGCAATGCAAAAAAATAAATAACATCTTGTAAGAACAAAGTGATTCAAATTTCTGAACAAACATTATTGCATTAGGAAAAAAAAACGTTTGTTTTGTGTCATTATTGGTCCAAAGAGCAGAAAAGCAAGAGGAATATATTTTTACAAGCATTGACGTCTTCGAATCTGATCCATCGGTTGTTGTCTTTTGCAGTGCGTTACGGCTTTAAAAACAAAATATGTTTTCATTCATACCTCGTTTTACTTAGTAACACTTCAAGATTTTGCATGAATGGACTAAAAAAGTAGAAAATAGTCATGTGTTCTTCGGATAAAAGTACAAGAGATCGAGGCGTTACTATCATTTTCTACTATCACATTCAACGCACATGTTAACAGCTGTACTTCAAGCGAGATATCAAATGGGTATACCTTGTGGTTTAGAGTTGTTTATATTGTGTCTTTGTAACAAAGTAAATACCTTGTTAACAATTTTTTCCCGGCCAAGTATTCCTTCTCAGTTATTTACGGGCCATTAGTCAATAAAATCCTCGATATTTAAAGACTCAGTCGATAACATACTTTTCTTTGAAAATCAGCTGAAACGAAGGTCTCATAACAAGGAACATGACGTTTTATTGCTATTATTAATTGTTGAAGGCTGTTGTTAGAGATAAGCTTTCTAGAAATCCCGGGGTTAACTGGGTTTTAGGAATCGACTGAAGATAAATTCCAACACGGGAAGTTTTGAGCTCTGTTATAACTTGAAGTTTCAGTTGTTAAAGTTGCGCGGACAATGCTATGGATTCACTCATTGCGAAATCTCGTAAAACTCACATATACGACATTTTTCCCATAGGAAGCTGACATTTCATTAAACATTCATTACGTTTAATAAACACATGAGTCGTGTGTAGGCTTGCTAAGGGGAAAAAAGTTCATATGTTAAAGCTTTCCGACTCAGTTTGTAATTCACGGTAACCTCAGTGGATGAAGTCGTCAGGTTAGAACTTAAAACTAAAATGGAGAGCAAATTAAAATGTAACAAACTGCTAAACAATACAGTTTCGTACCCAATGTGTCGTTGTAAGCCGGTGCCTTCGATGGAGTCGTCGCCAATTCCTTTGGTCGTTGAATGACTGATGTTGACATCGTGTTGTTTATACCATCTACACTTTCACTGTTGGTTACGAGACCATATCCTTTGCCTTGCATACCAAGCCACATTATAGTAATGAGGAAATGCGACAGGGAGACGCCGTGAAAACCACGACGAACTCCTTCCAGTGTCATTGTTAAGTCGTGAATACAGCCCTCGGCGTGTTTTCCAATAGAACTGATTAATGATAGAGTAGGGGAACTGGGTGTATCGGAAGTATCGCACCTGTTTTGTTAAAGCACTTGGCGCGCAAAGATGTGACTGTGTTGACAGCAACTTGAGAATGCTTGTGATTGCTGGTTGATTACTGATTACACCAATCACGCAGGATCTTATTTATTGATCTAGTTAATGCTATTATTTATCACTTTTGAGGTGATTGACAAATAGATAACGCTCGCCAAAAGACGACCATGAACTGCGAGAGGCGAAGTAAACAAAAAAACAAGTTAAACTAAATTCAAGTGAAAACAATCCAAAGCAGAAAATAAATGGTCGGTTATCGTTGCTTGTTGATTAGCTCAAACGATATCATTTTATGTATCGGTTCTATTCGACATTATCCCGCCATGAATAATTTCAGATTTGGGTTTTTTCCAATGCGTTGAAGGTGGAAAAGTCTGGAATCAAACGTATCTCAGTTATTATCATAAACTCGGCATGGAGCCCAACACGGATGTTTATCAAGATAACGCCGTTCGAGTCATGAGAATTTTTCTTAAAGGAAGCACCTAAGAATACGTTTCATTTTATCACAATAGCGTTTAAAGTTTGTTCTCGAACAGACCACAGTATCTGGCTAATTCACTGGGTCATAAATCATGACATTATTTTTGATTTGCATTTGGAGTTTTCAGCCTACACGTTTACAAAGTCGTAAAAGTTAAGCTAAAACCTAAAGCCGTTCAATTTCAGTTCTTTTCATATTAAACACCCTGCCAACGAGAATATCAGTTTTCAATTTCTCGAGGCAACCGTAAAACGTTTAAGCTGCGCTGTTGAGGTGATAAAGCGTTATAGTAATACATATCTTATGTTATCTTGCAAGACTGAAGATTGAATTCAAAACAATGTATGCTGTATTTTGTACTTAAAGGCAATTGCATCCACACGGCATCAATTGAAGTCTCTTGTAATCCACTGTATTGTTCGACGCACGGTTGAAACGAGAATTTTGTTTGAAATAGACGGCTTCGCATGCTCATAGCGCTTAATCGTTAATAGCGAAAAATTATTTTTCCGATTCCCCGACGCGAGGCCTGTATTCACGACGTCTACACAAACACTGGAGACAGCAAAGCGACTTTAAAGAACAAACGGTTCATTGGAAGCAAAAATGAATACCTGCATGAAATGCCAACGTTATAATACATGCGAGAGACAGGAAGCCCGCCATTTTCTTCCCGGAGGCGTTCTCTTGTACGCTGGGTTTAGTCACCTGTTTTGCAGAGAGAAATGAATAATTAAATAGACGTGTGGTACGATATTGACAAAATTCACAATACCTCCTAGTTTGGTTAATTTGAATACAGACCATGATTTGAAATCAGCCGGATACACAAAACAGCGACGAAAATTAGCAGGTTTCCTGAAAAGAGTTATCGTGCTATCGATGTTGCACAAATGCAATTATACAGTATATGACATAGCGCTCATGTTTGCGCTACAGATTTTTTAAAAGCGAAGAGCTCTCTTTTTAACGGTACGAGTCTTCGCCACAAAGGTGTTAAGAAAGGATTATTCAGAAGAAATTTACAAACGCCCTCTTACTTCAAACTTTTTATTGTTACTCGCGGTCTCGAGGGAGGAATACATGATTGTAAACAGGACGAAGTTTTTTCTTTTGTCTTGTCAACACACGACCACGCTTATTTCAGTACAAAAATCCTTACGCATAAACATTGCTCAAATCAAACGCCCCCTTGAAATTTTCCAGTCATACATACAAGATAACAAATAACATTTGATATGGAAGGCTTTGAACATAATAACTTCGCAGAGCTCAAAATATCTCTCATTAACTGTGTTTGTTTTGGTGTTTTATATTAGTTTTGATTGATTTTTTAACATCTCTCTCAGCAGTGGTTAGCTGGCCAGAAAACAAACCTTTTTGAAATTAGCAATTGCTCCATGGCTATAAAACGTTCTATCGTAAAAGTATATAACAACAAAAAAATACATTCTCCGATCAAGACGAAGTTTTTACCCTCCATGTTTGGTTGTATGCCAATTAGGGTTACAATGGGGGTATTCTGATCAAAACGAGGCTAGCATTTTGGCTTAATTCAGACCAGTGTGAAACAATATTCTGAAAGCCAATTATTTGGGCATCGAAAATTGTTTCAAACAAATATCTTCCTAAAATTTTGTTTTTCACAAGGGAATTGCACATATGGGCTACATTAGAATAGAAATTGAAAACTTTCAAATTAACGACAAAAATAAAATCGGAAGTGAGAATTTAATTTGGTCTTGACAAGTGTTGGTGTGAGCCTGGATCTTTGCCGATATAGCTGCATGGTGAAAGGCTTTGTTACTTTTGTCTTATAACTAATGATGTCTCCTTCATCGATCACAGATCTGAAACATAAACATTATCCGTGCTTCAGAGTTTTAGAGCGAGGATGCAAAGTTCATGTTGCCCAGCCTTCTCGGGTTGAGTTATTTCCGTCTGAAACATAAAATCCTTATTTTACTAAACTTATTTATTTCACTGTCTAATTAGGCTTGTTTTACCCACAGTTAATTCTTTCATCCTGAATTGACAGACTAAATATCGTTTTATTTGCGTAATTTTAATTGGCTGTGTATATTCCACCAAGAGGCCAAGAGGCATAATTCAGTCTTGTGGATAAACTTGAACAAGGTGTTTTTTGCCTCTGTTTATACACATCTTCTCACTGAGTAAAGACAGGCCACAAAACCGGTCATATGTCTATAAGAAACTTTTATTTTGTATTTAACAACGACCTTTAACACAAAAGTGAACATCGTCGTAGAAATGATCATGATGGCGGCTAGTCCTTACCATAAAGCGTTAGACAAATAAATGGATTGGACGCCTAAACGGATTATACATTAGGCCCTATTATACAAAACATGCAGCCGCAATGTCTGAAGTCTCAATTATAGTTCAAAATGCCTCTTTTGCTCTTCCAAGTTTGTCATGGTATGTTTACAATAGTCTTTTTCTGATGTACCGAATTAAAGAACAAGAAAGAATGATCTTTTTGCACGATTTCCGGGAAAAAGGAGTGTTTTCCATTCAACCAGAAATTCCAAAAGTAACGAAACGGAGGCATACTGTACGGGAAATTCAAGTAGATTTTCGCACGATTTGTGCCTGTTTTGAAAGCTCCGAAATTTTAGATTGAATGGAAAGCGCCCTATTTCTTTCGTTATCATATAAACGCCCTAGCCCTATAACAATTACAGCAAAAGCCACAAAATGATTTTTCTGCAAGTGCGGATCTTTTTTATTACGTGTTCATCGACCACAAAACCAGATACTATTTGTAGGTTCTACGGCCTAAGTGGGTTTTTTCGAAACTTGGAGGTTGAGATAAGCATAGCTACACACACGGTCAGGGGGAAAATTAACGTTAGTGTTCAAGTCGAAAAGCTAGTGCTATACTTACCAAAATCTCAGCGTTGGTCACTAATCAATTATGACTTAATCACTCCTTCAAAATGAAAAAAAATAGCTGCTTTAGACAGGAAGTCAAATACATCAATTAGGCTGACCTCTATCTATGTGGCTGTAATTCTAGTGTGGGTGCACTGTCACCCTTTGACGTCATAGATTTTGAAACGTTGCTCGCCTAGAGACCTCTGGGAAATATTTTCCTCGTTAGAAGTCTTGTGAACTCAAATTAGCCAATGAGAGCTCGCGCTGTTCGGGAAACATTCCGGCTTTAGACCCTATTCATAAATGGCTGCCACTTTAAAATTCTTTTATATGCATTTAAATTAGCCCAACTAAACTCGTTTGAGAGTAAAAATTCTTTTGAATTATCAACTTAAAAACGAAGTTAGTTGGGCTAATTTTAATACTTACAAAAGAATTTATTGGCAGCCATTTATTAATAGGGTCTATATAGCAATGATAATTACCAAGAGAGGTTTCCAGTGGCTGCATTTGGAAAAAGTAACACCAAATCACCAAATGTGGCCTATGCACGACTCGACCACATGATACAAATCGACCATATGCAAAGTAGCAATTTATGCAGTGGGGCATCAAGAACAAAGCAACTCGCATCAGTTCAGCTTGACTTTCCTTTGTTTGCCTGTCCCACTGCGTGACTTGTGGCCCAGCATGGTTGATTTGTACGATGTGATCGGTCGTGCCAAGGTACTACTACGGTGAAATTCTAAAAATAGAGCCAGGCACAAGGGCTCTTAGTCATACATTTTAGTAATCAGATAGTTCATGAAGCAGATTACACAGCTGGTGAGGGGCGGGTTTGTGTTCGTATTTATTATTCAGTCAATTATATATTGTAATGGCTCTTTTTAAATCTGCTGATAAATTGATGCGTTTCTGGTAACGCGCGCGCGTAAGGTAATCATTTATCTACGTTTCTCGCTTCGCTTTGGTGAAAATTTAACTGAAACTGTTTTCCAAACATGAAGGTAAAAATATTTCTACTCAACAAAAAAAAAAAAACTGTTTATTTTGTGGAATGAATTGCAATTCGCTGAATTAATTCGTGTGCAGTCCTTCTTCGCGGTCCGTATTGCAAAATTCGGACAGCTGAGGGAGCCAAGCAGAATTTTCCTTTTACATGTAATCGCGGACCAGTTCAGCCATATAATAAATCTCATTAGTAGAATTCTACTAGTATACTAATGCAAATGCTGTTATCTGATTGGCTGAGCCATTGCACACCATCAGCCATTAGTGTGCATTGGCTTGGTGTGGTCGACAAAATTGCAATGTTTCCTCGTTTTTCCGAAGTCTTGAAAGAACATTTAGAAATAAATGGATAATTAATTTACCGAGAAGACTAAAAGGAGGACATTTACGGTTTCTTGAATTAAACAAGCTCGAAATTTTCGAAAGCTGAAACTGATAAGATAAGTGCGTGTGCACAACTGCAAATGTCAAAGGACAATTCAGTCCGCGCTAATTCTCTAAACCGTTAAGTTTAATACTAAGACCAGAAATAATTGGAATCATCATTTAAAGTAAATCTCAGTTAGAATTCTCCCAAAACAATTAGATTATTCGCTCTCGATTTCTATGAGGCGATATTTGATTCGGCCTTCGACCCATTCTCGTCCCCAGCGCCCACGATCCTTCTGGCCTGCGGCAGGGATCGAGAGCTCTGGGCTGGTCCAACACCGGAAGTCCGCGATTCACGGACTTCCCGTCAAATCTGGCAAA